TAAAATGAAGGGAAAACATACTTGCCAAAATCCTTTTTGGGTTGTGCTGCATCAAAAACATTTGGAAATGACTTTAAATGTTTGGAAAAACCCCAGATACTGGGTTCAGTCACCCCTGGAGATTAAATCAGTGTCCTTCATCCAATGATAACTAGGACCCTGTTTTGCAAAGACATTTCTTAAAAATGTCAAGTCCTTAAACTGACACTCCTGAAAACTGACTTTTTTTGATGTTTGAATTGCTAATTCAATGATAGGGTCCTATTATGGAGTCTTCCCCAGAGACTAGGAATCCATTTTGTGTTATTTAAGCCCAAGAAGTACATTTCAATTTTCCCCAATTTCTTAAATGTGGTTAAAAATGTAAGCTCTTTCTGTTGTGGAGGTAAAAAATTAGTGGTTCTTGGAGTCCAAAAGAAAATAAAATTTTGAGCTGAATGAAGGGGGACTATATGATCAAGAAGATAAAAATGGAAAACTCGGTTTTTATTCTTGAAAATGTATTCAGGCACAAGTTCTGACATCATCTGACAGCATACTTCAGAAATAAAAGGAAGGAAGGAGGGAGGGAGGGAGGGAGGAAAGAAAGAAAGGAAGAAAACTGGATGGTAAAGTGTCTTTGGAGATAAAAAGATTGTGAGAGAAATATAGTAATACATTAGGTTTAACAGAAATGGGTAGTTTTGATGAAAACAGCTATGCAGAAATAAGAATAAAACACCAACAAATTTAACACAACAAATGTAAAAAGACTGATGCACAAGAAGGTGATATGTTGAAATGAATGAAATGAATGAAAGGTTGGCACAAATGATAAAGCATCAAGAGGAAGTAGGGAAGGGTGGTGCTATATTACTGGAACAAAATGTGTTAGATGTTCAAACCAAGAAAAAAGAAAAAAAAAAAAAAACATAGGACAATACCCAAAGTGACAGAAAGCCTGCAAAGGTACTTAGTAGTTAGGGGAAGAATAATAAAAGACCATCTAAAACATGTGAGAGGCTGTCATTTAAGTCTCTGCAGCTGAACAGCCTATATTAAAAATATTAGATCTGATTCCACATGCAGTTCTGATGTGAGAGGAAACAGCTTTCAAAATTGTTTAATGACCTCCTGATAGGAAGGTTAACAGGATTATCACACGGTTCACTGGAGGATGGACAGCAACTCTCAGCGTGTCCCTCACTCAATGTGTGATTCCAATATTCTCCTTTACAGGGAAGTGTAAAATCATTGTGTTACTCAAAGACATTAGTTAGAAAGTTGGGATGCTTTTAATGAGGGAAGTCCAACATAAAAGGGAAATGAGGAAAGGGAGAAAAGGGGTTTTAAAACCTGACTCTTTCAGCTTAGTTCTGCCTTAACTATGGGGGTGTCTGGGGGGACTGAACCTCTCAAGGTTTCAATTTGCTGTGGTCCCCTCTCACTTCTGACTGGACTGTTCACAACCTGGCAACTCATGTGACATTCTCTGTTTCTGACAGTTTATTGCTCCTCCATTCTGTTCTCCAACCACTTTTTTTTTGTGTGTGTGTGTCAAAGTAGAGAAGTATTCCCTGACTACCCTTCTGTTACACAGACCACAAAGCAATACTGCTTTGCATGGTCAGCATCCTGTGAGACTTTAACGAGAAGAGTCTCCATGATAGCCTCCTTTTCACAGTTGTGGTCTTAGTACCAGCTGAGTATGTGAGAGTCGGGATGGAGAAGGGAGGGAGGTAGTCCAAAGAATACTCTGAGCAGTATTCATCAGTCATGGAATAACAAAGATCATACCTTTTCTTTTTTGATGACCCATTATTCTGCCCTAGACTTGGATTCCCTAACTCCTGAGACACTGTATTAGGGCAATTAGCGCCAGGTGCTGTAACAAACAACCCTAGAATCTTAGGGACTTTACCCAATAAAGGCTTTTCTTCTGGCTAATATCACAGCCTGTGTGGCAGGCAGCTTTTCATCCCATGATTCTGGAATCCCAATTCTTCTATCTTGTGGTGGGATCACCTTCTAGGGCCTCTTCAGAGTCCACTCAGGTATTGTCTGTATTTAAGTGGCTTACCAGCAAAGAGTTAGGAAGATTCCATGATGCATTTTATGTCCATGAGTGGAAGTGGTGAACATTACTTCCAGGATATGGCACCAGTCTAATTGCAGGGGATGCTGTAAAATTTATTTTTTTCTAAGTGCCCAGGATGAAGAATTGTGATTTGTGAGCTTTTGGGCAGTGTCTACCACATTGACCAAGGGGTTTTTTCTTCTCTAATGCAAACTAATCCTTAATGGGTCTGTCTTCACAGCTTTAGCCATGTGTTCAGATATGTCTGAGTTTATGAACATTATTTAATGTAGAAACTGAGATAGATTAAGTTTAAATAGCTAATAAGTGACATCACTGGAATGTAACTCAGATTTTCCTGAGTCTCAAGTTATTATCTCCCCCTAAATTTTATATTTTGGGGCATGGCAGTAGGGATGAGATCAGTTTGGGAGGAAAATGACTCCTTTGCTTTGCACCCCTGAAGCCCTCTGAGATATCAGAACCTCTCTGGCACCAAAGATTTGTTACAGGTAGTACTAGATCCAGGGTATTTCAGGGAAATACTTATATAGGAAATCCTGAGGTTGATATTGTCTCATACTGGTGGGAGAGTGAAAAACACTAGGAAAGACTGAACGCTGTCACCTTGTTCGCAAAATTGGGCAGAGTAAGATGGCCATGTCCAGTGGCCTCAGAAAATATCTTTAATTACCTCTCTTTTGACCAGAAAGCTGAAGCAAAATACCAATGCAGACCATTGAGAAAGAAAGACAATATATGGGATTGAGTCTGGATTTCAGTGTTGCCCTTAAATTGTTGTTTTGCTTTTTAGCAGCTCTGTGAGTATCGATTCATTACTTCAACTCTCAGATCCACTGTTTCCTTGTTAGCAAATGGGGGTAGTGAAACATAACTCTCAAGGCAGTAAGGATTAAAGAAGTTAACAAGGGTACTATGCCTAACAAATAGGAGGCACTGCAACTAAGGGTTATTCCGTTTTCCCTTTTTATTAATTCTCTTTCAAAAATATGACATCAAGGGAAGGCATCATGGTGCAAAGATAGTTATTCTGGATGCTTGGAAAACTGATGAGGGAAAGTGGTAAATTAATTTATTAATTTATCATTAATAAATTTTTAATCCACTTTTCATTCATGTATCCATCCATCCATTCATTCATAGTTAATTCATTCTTTCATACATTCACCTAATATATACTCACTGTGGTAAAACATCGTGGTAAACATTGGGGAAAACAAAGAAGACAGCATGAACCCTGCTCTCAGGATCTTTGCTTTCTAGTGGAGGAGACAGGCATATGTGCATGTCATAGAAATTATAAGGTGGAGCATGATAAATAACATAGACATTTGAAAATTAAGTACTGTGGTTATACAGAAGAGGAAGGATAGAGTGAGGAATGTGAAAAGTATAAAAGAATCACGAGGATTTGTGTTGGGACTTGAATATTGGTGGCTCTGGAATTTCAGATTAAGAAAAATTATAAAAATTTTATTTGAGTATAGTTGACACAATGTTACATTAGTTTCAGGTGCTAAATCTAGTGACTCAACTCCTCTTTATGTTATGCTAGACTCACAGTAAGAGTAGCTACCATGAGTCCCATTACATTGCTATTACTGTATCATTGACTGTCTTCCCTGTGCCGCTCCTTTTATTCCTGTAATGTATTCATTCCATAAATGAAAGTCTGTATCTCCCATTCCCCTCTACCCATTCTTCCCATTCCCACATGCTTCTCCCCTCTGCAAGCATCAGTTCTATTTATAGGTTTGATTACACCTTGCTTGTTTAGTCATTGTTTTGTATTTTAGATTCCACGTGAGTGGAATCATGTGGTATTTGCATTTCTTGTTCTGACTTATTTCACTTAGTATACTATCCTCTAGGTCCATCCTTGTTGACATACATGGCCCTTTAGTTCAGTCTGTGTTGTTACAAATGATAAAATGCTCATCCTTTTTATGGCTTTGTAATATTCCTCTGTGTGTGTGTGTGTGTGTGTGTGTGTGTGTGTGTGTACGCACATGAATGAGTGCATACCACATCTTTATTCATCTATCAGTGGACACTTGGATTGCTTCCATATCTTGGCTATTGCAAATAATGTTTCAGTAAATATAAGGGTGCATAGATCTTTTCAAATTAGTGTTTTTATTTTCTTTGGGTAAATACCCAAAGGTGAAATTATTGAATCATATGGTATTTTTAAGTTTTTGAGGAACCTCCATATTGGTTTCCATAGTAGCTGTACCAATTTACATTCTCACCAACAGAGCACAAAGGTTCCTTATTCTCCACATCCTTACTAACACTTGTTATTTCTTATCTTTTTTATTTTAGCTCTTGTGATAGGTATGAGATAAAATCTCACTGTGGTTTGGATTTACATCTCCCTACTGATCATTGAACATCTTTTCATATGTTTATTGGACATCTGTATGCCTTCTTTGTAAAACTGTCTATTCATGTACTCTGCCCATTTGTTAATAGGATTGTTATTTTGGTATCAAGTTATGTAAGATTGGCAGAAGCAGGGCTATTTCTTTTGAAGCTATGTTTGCATAGCAAGAACACCAAATTTTCGTAGGCTGTGTATTATAAAAAATAAAGAGAACTCAATTTTCAATGATGGTTTTCTTCACATTTTTCTTATAAAAATTACAAAAATTAATTTTCTTAAATAGTAGACTTCATGCCCAGCATGGAGCTCACTGAGGAGCTTGAACTCATGGCCCTGAGATCAAGACCTGAGTTGAGATCAAGATTTGGATGCTCAACTGACTGAGCCACCCAGGTACCCCTACAAAAATTAAAATCTTATAAAACATCTTTTTCTCTTATTTGCTGAAAAATTATTAGTAATGATAACTATTTTTGGTTAGGTTATTTAAGGAGTTATATTAGCTTGGGCTACCATATCAAAACACCATATACTGGGTGACTTACACAGCAGAAATTTATTTCTCACAGTCCTGGAGGCTGGATATCCAAGATCAGGTTGCCAGCATGGTTGGACTCTGGCGAGGATTGTTGTCCTGGTTTTGCAGATGACTCTCTTCTCACAATGTCCTTACACATCAGGGAAACAGCTCTGATGCCTTTTCTTTTTCTTCTTATAAGAGCAACAATTTTATTGGATTAGAGCTCCACCCTTATGACTTCATTTAATTTTAATCACTGTCTTAAAGGCCCCATCTCCAGATACACTCACATTGGTGATTAGGGCTTCAACATGGGGACACAATTCAGTCCAGAGAAGCAGCTGACAGAACCTTGCCTCTTGGTGCTCTCTCCGCCTTGGAAACGTGTTATGGTTCCTTTTGAGAACAGACTGGAGAGGAATAGGAGCAGCACAATCAGCTTTACCAAGTAATATCTCAGAGTTGTCACAATAAAAAAGCTCAAATGTACAATTCCAGTATGATTTGCATACTTGCCAAAGGCAATATCTATTTGAAATAGTAGTAATTGACTCTATTCTTCCCTTTGAGGTAAACGTATAAAGATTCTCATAAGGATAAAAATATAAATTTTGTCAATTTCCAATTGCTGGCTTTGTAGAAAATCCACACACTTTTTACAGGTTAATAAATAATTTTATAACTTTTTTATTTTTTTTTTCTTAACAGGTCTTAGAGATTTTTGAGCCTATACAATTAAATCATGATTAATGGCATGTTTATCAAAGACCAGCATGCTTGGCTTATGGCAGTAAAAATAAGCACTTTTAGTTGGCCAAATAGATAGTAACCATCTGAACTTTTACAAATCAAGAATTAATTTCAAAAAGGTGCTACCTTTCCAAACCACCTATTTGGTAAAACTTGTGGCAATAAAGTATAAAAAGGGATTCCGTTCTTTTCTTGAATTCATGTATCATGAGTTTAACTCATGTTTATTAACTCATGTATCATGAAAAAAATTCTGCTTTGTAATTCATGTTCAGTTCTCACTCTACTTGTTTTATATTGAATACAGCTATGGTGTGCCATAAAAAGATAATTTGGACAGGAATATCTGTTGGTTTTAGACTGTTTTTGTGTCTCCTCAGTCAGGACCATCCCTTGGGAGATGTTGACCCTGGGAAATCACATGGTGTGTCCTCTTTCCTCTAGTTTGGCATCTTCATGTAACTGAAAGGATGTTCTACTGAACATTGATGACTCTGGAGAGAGAAAAGAAATCACAAATGGGCCAAATGCAGCTTAATAGGTTTGTGCAGAAGGAGGGGCAGGGTCAAGAAGGTACTTTGTGAAAATTAGGAAAAAGGTGCAACTTCCCCTGGGTGGACACAGCCAACCCCATTCGAGGGGATGTGGTTTGGCAAATAGACCAAAGGTTGCATTTAGTTCCCATTTTCCCTTTTAGGTGGGCAACTGCCTACAGTGGTCTTGGACAGGGCCAAGTTAAGGCCTAAACTGAGGGATCAGCTTCTAACAGTACCTGCTATTATACTTTACACATAGTAAATAGTTGGGATATGATAATTATGAATAGTATAATCATTATATTTGAACAGTACCCAATTGTTTGTGGAACACCATATCTCAGAATGAGTTACACGTCCAGCTTCTAAAGGTTTTCTATTAATCTGGGAGAAAGGCATTTATGAGTAGCATAGTAAATTTATAAAATTCTCCTCTTGAAAAAGATGAATGATAATTCCATAAAAAAAAGAAAAGAAAAGGAATCAGTGTTATTTGATCCATTTTATGACCTGTCCAGGTAAATTTGGATTTGGGATTACCTACATTTTTGTGTGAAATAAAATGATATTTTTCTTTTCTGAAGTCAATTAACAAATCTGTGCAAAACCAGAGGCTGAGGTGATGAGTGAAGGCCTTTTTGCTCTTGGAGAATTCTTCAACACCTATGGAGACAAGTTTCAGTGTTTGCTTAAAAGAAGACAGTGGTTTTCTCCTCAGGTCTAGGACTAGTTACATAACATTCAGAGTCCCCAATGTAAAATAATAATGTGGGGGCCAGCAGGGTGAGGAAGGCTGTTTCCCCTTTGCACAAATGAATGGGCACCCCCAAGGGACACCACCTCTGTGGTGGTGTACACTTAGTATCTATATCAGAGGTGGGCAAGAAGCCTTCTCCCAAACCTGGCCAAATAGCCAAGCACCTGCTGGCAAAGGGAAAGGTGGGCCAAAACCCCAGCCAAGGAGAATCGTAAGAAACAATTTTGACCTTGGCCTAAAGAATCTCATTTCACCAGGTCTAGAAGGGAGGAAAAGGGTAATACAGACAAAGGCTACTGCCTGAGAGAAAAGCACAGTGTGAAAACCCAAGCTTAAGGAATACTAGTCATTGGAGGGCTCTGCTCATTAGGAAGCAGATGGTGAAGGTGGTTGAATGTAAGTCTAGAATGACATTCCATCATTCAGTAATTTTTAAGTGCCTACTATGTCTCAGGCCCTATGCTAAATGCTGCTCATACAATGTTGAGCAAAATCAGACGTGTTCGTTACTCTTATGGGGCTACACCTAATGAAAAAATTAGGGTCCAGTTGAAGAGGTTCTTGAATGTCATTTGCATTCAGGGTTTCTCTGTAGACCTGAAAATGTCTCAAGTCAGAAATGCTTATCTTTGTTTCCTACAGCCCCTACTACTGCCACTCATAAGTTTAAATTCTTTCTTTCTTTAAAAAAAAATATGTCTTTTTCTACATTGTTTATTACATTGGTCCCTATCTCTCCAATACTAAAGAATAACATGTTTATTTTTAAAATGTATTTTTTAAATTATTTACTGCTTTCCACTCTTTGTTGTGAATAATAGTGAAGACAGGAATGTGTCACTGAGAAATTCTTTGCCAGAGGTCACTTGTAGTTTGGTTGATTGGAATTCAAAGTATATTACCCACAGTTAAATTTTTAAAAAAATTTTTATGTCTTTATTTTATTTTGAGAGACAGAGACAGGAAGCAGGGGAGGGGCAGAGAGAGAGAGATAGAATCTGAAGCAGGCTCCAGGCTCTGAGCTGTCAGCACAGAGCCCGATGTGGGGCTCGAACCCACGGACTGTGAGATTGTGACTTGGGATGAACTCGGCCGCTTAACTGACTGAACCACCCAGGCACCCACTCACCCCCCTCACTGTTAAATTTGTCTACCCAGAACCAGGAACATATTTAGCACATATATATGTATGTATGTGTGTGTGTGTGTGTGTGTGCACACGTGTGCACTCACAGGCACATATATGTATGCAGTAAATACCACAGAATATAGATACCACATGGGAGACTTTTTTGGGGAAATTCACTCAAGAAATTCTGAGATAATAACATAAGTGACTTATTAGGGACAAGTCTTTCCTGGTATAATGATAGAAGGGACTCCTTTTAGGTCACTTTTACAACATGTCAGGGCTGCTATCTAAAGTGAAGAGTGAGAGCTAAGATTAACCCTGAGGTATAGATGTGGGATGAGTGAGGAACAGAGGGGGGATATATAAAGCAGTGTAGGAAGTCAGAGGACAGGCTTATGGGGTGGAAGTGGAAGGTAGAGCAGTGGGAGACTGTGGATAACCAGAAGACAGTGGGTACCTGAAGCATGACAGAGGTAAAGACCAAGAAATTGGGAAAAAGGGAAGAAATTAGGAGGAAAAGGGCCAACTTGGTCTTATTTTCTATCCCTGCGGTACTAACATTCTGCCCAACTAGTGAAAGCCATTTTGAAACCATAGTAATTGGGTAACAGAAGCATAGCAGATTGAAGGACCAACAGTCTGAAGGTCAAAGGATAAACCCCAGCTCTCCCATTTACCAGTTGTGTGGCCTTGAGTAAGTTATTTCACTTCTCTGAGCTCTGGCTCCCTATATAAAAAGTGGGTGATACTAATAGACTCAGACTTACATGGTTATTTTAAGGAATAATCGAGGCTATGTGTGCAGAATACAGAATGTAAGCTCCACACAGGTAGAGAGTTTGCCTTGTTGACTGCTGAATTCCTAGTGCTTAAGACAGTTCCTGGCATTCTTCGTTCTTCAGACAATTAATGAATAAGAAGGAAGAGATTTGTAAGTGGGGTGGCATTTTAAAATACCTAATCCATGGGTTGTTTGAAGCTGATGAAATTAATGGTTACAAGAAGTGAAGATTCTAAAAGAATGAGATTGAATTCAAGTCCCAGTGCTGGTACTCAGCATTTTTTTTTTTTTTTTTTTTTGTCACCATAGGCAAATTTTGGCCTCAGTTTCTTCTTCCATGAAATTTGGGTAATTATAGTACTCACTCAAGGGATTACTGTGAAGATAAGATGAGATGCAAAGCAGTTTGTGCCTGGCACATAGTAAATGCTCAGTAAATGTTAGGTGTAATGATGGTGATAACAACTTTGCTATTGAGAGCAGTTCTCAGCACTATAGGAAGGTTTCAAGTTACCCGAAGTCATCCTCTGATCTTGCCAAAGCTGAAGCAAGAAGCAGTGCTCTTTGTGAATCTTCTTTAGCCCTCTTAGAAGGGTGTGTGTGGCCCCAAGTCTGGCAGGGACAGAGCTGAGCAGAGCTGTTCACAGCAAATCTGTGATGATGATCTTCTCATCTGTCTTCTAAGCTGTGGGCGGCTCCTTCTTTGGGAAGCAAGTTATAATCAGAACTTGGAACAAGCTACCTTCCAAACAATGCTCTCATTGCCTTTTCTGCCATTTAATTAATGCCAGTCTAATTTTATAGAAAGTATATAAATATGACTTATGCATATTTGTACCTATATTTTTCTGTGAGGCTTGCCATGAGGTACATAGCCACTTAAATCATATCCTTCTGATAAATATCTCTGGCCTGAATACTTAACTTTATTTTTTAGAACCACGTTTAGGGAACTTAGCAAGTGGAAGGATGGATATACCTTAAGCCAACCTACAAGTTATCATTGACTAAAACCAAAAGGTGAACCTCTTATTTCTTCCAGATTATATTTTGCTTTGGGGTTTAGGTAAATTTCAGCTGATGGCACTCAAGACCCCTTTTGCTCATGCTTTCCTTCCAGTTTCTGTCAGTCTAAGTCAAGATATAGACAGCAGCCTATGGACTGCTTCTTGAAGGTTATGAGGACAGTGATCCATGCATTGTTTTTAACTTTCATCTTAGTGCATATAATTTAATTCAGGCCATGACTGAAATACATTCAAATCCTGAAAGAGTTTCACCATAACTCTTGGAGGTTTAGCACAGACCAACTGGGTGTAGTAGAGTGACTGTTGAGCTTCTCTATGACTAAATTTGCACTGTGTCTGTAAGTATGTGCACCAGCAAGCTGATTTTATTAGAACTTTGAAGAACTAGTAGAAAAGCTCTTTCTTTTTTACCAAACATGGATTTAAAAAATTACACAGAAATCAGTATTGTCAAGTCACATGAAGTGCAATTATAAGCAGAAGGCTTGAAACCTGTTTTTGCTTAAAGCCTTTATTTGATTTAGCCAAAACAACAGCAATAAATTGTATTCAAAAGCATTTTTGATCCCTTTGCAACAGTATTACTACTAAGAGCAGGGTCTACATAATATCCCCCCTTTATCGTTAAGGTCAGTTTTCCTTAGGCATCCCAAAGTATCCAAATCTGTGTTTACAATTCTGGAGACAAAGGATTATTCAGACTCTAGTTACTGTTTAATACTTGGAAAATTGGTATTATTAGACAATTACTATGACACTGATTTTGCATTTTTATTTTCTTGACATCTTCCTTGGAACCAGCAGAATCCCAAGGATTAAAATGCAAAAACATGTCATTAAAAAATTTAACAGAAACATTCCTCTTCCATTTTCCTCCTGAAATTTTAGGATGTATTTCATGTCTTCCCTTTATTCTCCTTTCCCCACAATACTACTTTTAACATTTTGAGACCTTAGGTAGTCAGTGTGTACTATCAATACCCAATAGGAATATAACTGATACCATTAGGGCAGTAAGTTGAGGACTACATCTTTGGCTCAAAGATCACCATAAGAATAATTCTTTTTGAATGGCTATAATTACACTTGATTTTTTTTTTTTTATATATAGTCCTGTCATATAAGATCTAGTCTTGCATTGATCTTTCCTCTTCCTTTGGCTTAATTGCCACCCCAGATACAGATGAGTTTCAAAGTCCCCCAAACTGTTTCACAAACCAATTCATATTTAGGGTCTACATGACAAAGTTACAAAACTGT